GTTTTGGGGGGGGGGGTGGTTGTGGGTTTTTTTTTCTAGTTTGTTTGCTTTTTGTTTTTTGTTATTGTAAAACGTACTATAAGGCTTATTTGTTTTAGATAAAACTGTAACATTTGCCATCTTCAGATGTCTTTAAAAGTTGGCTGCATCTCCTTTTCGTGATAAAAAATAACTGTTGACCTTAAATGAATATTAAAGAATTTTTTTTCCAATGGCTTATCACGGCCCGTATCTACACACACACACACACACACACACAAGTCTACCTAGCTGTGAACTCCAACTGGTCAATACAGCCGTCCTTGTTGGAGTCATAGATCGCTACATCCTGGAAGATGGACAGAAAAGATGGACGTGTAAGTAAAACAACCAATAAATAATGAAGATGGTAATTAATAACATAATGTTATGTTCTATGCTACTTTAAGCTTATTACCATATTACAAAGTTGTAGGGTCCCTACCACACTGCCTAATGTAACATGCTCTGTGGACTAAACCACATTAACCTTTTTGTATGCTTTATAATGTTCTATACCACACTGCCTAATGTAACGTGCTCTGTGGACTAAACCACATCAACCTTTTTGTATGCTTTATAATGTTCTATACCACATTGAGCCGAATGTAATAAAGTTGAATGTTCTATACCATATTGAGCCCAATATAACAAACGTTCTATGTTCTATACCACATTTAGCCGAATGTAACAAAGTTGAAGGTTTTATATTACATGGAGCCAAATGTAACAAACGTACTATGTTCTATACCACATTGAGCCTAGTGTAATTGGGGTCAAACAGTGAGTCTGGGACTATTATTTTCTCGTGGATGAAAATCAGTACCGCTTTTCCATGTTGCAACTTGATAATCCTATTTTCTGTTGACAATCAACACGCTCAGTGAGACAGGATGAGAGCGAGATGTTTGCGAGTGTTCTGTTCTGTACCACACTAACCTAATGCAACAAACGCTCTTTACAACGCGCACCTAATGTTACAAACGGTCTACGTTCTATACCACATCAACCTAACACTGTAATTGTTCTTTGTTTTATACCTTGTTAACTTAATTTTACAAATGTTTTATGTTCTATACCACATCAACCGAACACTGTAATTGTTCTTTGTTTTATACCTTGTTAACTTAATTTTACAAATGTTTTATGTTCTATACCACATCAACCTAACACTGTAAGTGTTCTATTTTCTATACCACCTTAACCTAACGTTACAAATGTTCAATGTTCTATACCACATTAACCTAACGTTATAAATGTTGTATGTTCTATACCATATTAACCAAACATTGCAAGTGTTCTTTGTTTTATACCTCGTTAACTTAATGATACAATTTAATGTTCTATGTTCTGTACCACATTAACTTAACGTTATAAATGTTGTATGTTCTATACCATATTAACCAAACATTGCAAGTGTTCTTTGTTTTATACCTCGTTAACTTAATGATACAATTTAATGTTCTATGTTCTGTACCACATTAACTTAACGTTATAAATGTTCTATGTTCTATACCACATCAGCAAAACATTGCAAGTGGCTAAGGCAGTTTTTGCCCAACAATTGTCCATGGTTCGCAGGGTGCAAGGGAATGAATGCGATTTTCTGTGTGTGTGCCTGGAGGGAG